AGTGATCAAATGTAAACAGTGTGGGAGAAAATGTCTGTATAGCCTTTCCTGTTATACACAATTCATATCTTTTATTCACTCTGTATCAACAAGGACATTGAAGAGTATTTTTTCTCAACATGATCCATGCCAACTTTCTATGGTCTGTTCATGAGTAAAAAAAAAAAAAAAAAGGATTTTTGAGTTCTGAATTTGGCGGTCACTTATGATGTGTAGTCAAGCTAAAAATATTATGCTCTTTTGAATCACCTGATTTCTTGGAGCCTATATATTCAAAGCTCTAGAAATAACATGACGTAAAAAAAAAAATAAATAAATAAAAATCCTCACCTTTCCATACCTAAGAACATTAAGCACTGAGAAAATAATAAATGGGTTAATCTATTCCAGAGTTATTTATGTACAATCATCATATGAGTCAGCTTTTCTTTCTGTTTACAGAGTCAAACATAATAAGATCTGCTGCCTTTTTTTTTACAAGATACTTTCAATAAAATCATGTAGAAAATCAAGTGTTCTTAAAAATACATTTATGAATTTTGTCTTGTGTTCATTTTTTCAACTAATCTAGTAAAAAATATCACTTTATTATATGGTTTCTAAACAAGTTGTAGAAATTCTATTATTGAAAGTCTTTTCTATCAGAAGTTTTTGAAGACATACTAGTTACATTAAAACGTGTAAATGTCAAAGTCCTGAAAAATTAATATTAGTCTGCTGAAATGTTTAGATTGATGGAAAATCAATTCACCATCCTCTACTTTTGCTTCTAAGCTGGACAAAAACATGCAATAGAAATGCTCTACTGTAATTAGTATTCTACTGCAGGTTTTAGAGAAAAAAAATGACAGACAGCTCGGGCCAATAAAGAATCGCGTTGCAGATAGTGGCATTGATTTAATGTCTTAGAGAAGTGCTTAGTATGACCGTGGCGTTTAAGATATTAAGTTCTTCACAACAACAGTGTGTTGTTAAAGATGTAGCGGTCAGGTTGTAGGTTAAGTCTGACTATTTAGTCGCTTAACTTAGTAATTGTTGTTTGAAGGACCTAATATAAACAAAATCTGCAGTTACACAAATATTATGAATAGTAAACATCTATTAGCTTCCTTTGTCTGGTGTTTTTTTTTTTTTTTTAAATCTCATCTATTCGTATCCTTAGGCTTAAGACTATAAAAAAATTCGGAATTTGTTTATTCTTTTAAATTTACAACCTTTACCTGTAATGAAAGATGTTGGATTTAGAAATTCTGACAGCCCTTTGAAATCTTAAGATGTCATGAAAAATTGTACATTCTGCAGATATGCAGAGACTTTTAATGGTAGCCATCCGAATCATGCTTACTGTAAATACAGGATGCTAAACAGATTAAAATGTGAATTTCTTAAAATGTGGATTATTTTTCCTCGCTTTATATCCAACAGTGATATCCTCTGCTCCTCACATAGAAAAATAGGATAAGATACATTTAATGATGTTTCCCACATCTTCTTCTGATAATGAGATGATATTTTATTAATGAGCAGTTATCCTTTATCCTGAACAGTCATTTTGCCCAAGCTAATATCTGAGAGCTGAGGAAAAGGGGATTCAATTTATATATACATCATTTAAAACATATTTGTACTTTTTATATTAATAGCTAAAAGGTTAGGGTTGTCTGCGAGAATTTAATCAACTACTTAGATTTTAAATCAGTTCAGTATCTATACAGCTTTTTTTGTGCTATAATTTGACTTACCATTCAACAAGTATTAGTCTCACAATAGCAAATTAAATATTTTAAAGCCTTTATTATTCCGAAATTGAGATCACAGTAGTAGAAATAATGTAAAATGGCTTTAAGCCTATTATAACTGAAGACAATCAACTGTTTGACATGAGCAGTTAAAGATTACTTACAGGTTGTAAGGCCAGCAGAAGTTCATTGAGAGGATTGGTCAGGTTGGTGCCAAAGATTATGAAACCATAGCTGATCCCAGCAGAGTGCAGAGCTTTATCCAAACTGAACACAAAACAAAAATATCAGTGCATAATTTCATTTTGAAATTAAACAGAAAAAAAACATCAGAAAAAAATTGTAATTTTCTGGTCATAAACCAATATCTATTTGGCAATGTAATTTAAATGTAAAGAATTATGCTTTGTTAAACTGTTACTTACTTTGAAATAAATAGGGAAATAGTGAACAACAATGCGACCAGGATAAAGAAAACCCCCAGTATTATCTGCAAAGAGATGACAGTTAAAATGTATACAACATAATCACAGAATGCAAATGACTAATGCGTAAACTCCTGCCAGGTCAAAGAGAGACCATATGGCATCTAGTACCTCAGGTCAGCACTGGTGCCCAAAGCAACAGTGGGGAAATTTTGGCACAGCGATTTAAAAGGATTGGTCAGGTAGGCAGATTGTATCCACAGAGGCAAAGAGTGGATGAAAGCTGAATATCAAATGAATCGAACGATCTGAAATCCTTTAAGATGGCTTTTAAAATGACATACAATCAAAGATGGGTAAAGATAAATATATTTTGTTTACAAAGTTCAATGTGGTTACAAAAAAATAATAAAATCACACAAAATTCCTCAATAGACAAGACCTTTATTAACCAATGGAGGCCTAGATTTGGAGTCAACACCAAATTCAAGTTGAAAAACACACTACAGGCTGATCTAAGTTTGATTTAATGTCCTTTAAACAGGTCAAAATGAGGCACAACATAGTGTGTGGCCTCCACATGCCTGTATGACCTCCCTACAACGACTAGGGTTGGGAATTGAAAAGATTTTCACGATTCCGATTCCCTTTTCGATTCTATGAAACGATTCGATTCTTTATCGATTCTTTTTTCGATTCCAATTTGGGGGATAAAGGAGAACAAACAGTTTGATTATCAGCATCAACTTTGTTTACTTAACTATTGCAAAATCTTACAAACTCAACAAGATCAAGATGTCCACAGGAAATGTGAAACTGGAGTAACATCTGTGTTTAAATGAAAAATGAATACAAGA